ATCATCATCATCGTCGTCGTCGTCATCATCATCATCATCATCATCATCATCATCAGCAGCAGCAGCATCATCCTCCTCCTCCTCCTCCTCCTCATCATCATCATCATCATCATCATCATCATCATCATCGTCACCGCCTACACTACCACCGGAAATGACTCTGCAGTTCCAGATCTACCCTGCTCACACTGTCGTCGCACATTTAGCTCACAAATCGGCCTCGTCGGTCGCCTGCAAATCCATCGCATATATACTGGCGAACAAGTGCCTGAAGCGCCGACATATGCCAGAAGCACTCACCCAACAATCCACATTGCCCTCACAAATTCAGCCACCGCATGGACGTATTAGACCACACGAATATTAGCGAAAACCTGTGATAAATCAGGGCAGACCCGACCACTTCCCACACATTCTCCTACTAACACGTAAACCACTCATACAATCCTCAAAACCCCAAAACACTGCACTTACCACGAAAATGGGTAGTGTTTCCAGCTCCTTCTCCATATGGCTCATTTTCTGCATGCGTGATCGGAGTCTGTGACTACCGCGGTACGTCAAGTGCCCTGACTTGGAAGTTCGCCAACTGATGCTCCCCCTGTCAACCCAGCCGTGCGTTTTTTTGTTAAAAGGTTGACCAGTTGACTGCAAACCATCGTTATTCCTGCAAGTGTTCGAAGCTTTCTTCTAGTCCAAAATGTTTCCACGTCTTAGTTCTTCTTTCTTCCCCAATAGTCGCCAGTTTATTCTCTAATCTTTCGGAGCACTGCGCCCTGATAGTCTGCAAAGCACGTAGAACGACAGGTTTTATCCTCCGAAACTTTTAAACCAGCGATATTAGAATGTGCCTTCATAACAAGTACGTTAGACCTGGCATGGAATACCGTTCATTTTTATTTAGCCTCATGCGTGCTGCTGAGCGGAAGAAAATAGCATCCGTCCAACATGTTTTATACCAAGAGAGTGCTGACCCCGGAACACCGGCATTTGTCTTACCAAGAACGTTGTCGGCTCACAGGTCTTGATACATCCTGGTGTCGCAGATTACAAAGGGGATTATTTTTACTATTTAAGCTTTTATATAAGCGTACCTTTAACCCACGCACTGCTTTAAGACATCCTACCTACCCCCGTCGTAGCAGTCCCCGTGAGAGGTATTTTTATGTCTTCCTCTGGCACGTACCGTTAAATAGCGTTGGTTGTTTTCTGTAAATGCAATTGCTATTTGGAATAAACTACCCAGGAATGTGAAAGCTCTGCGAAATTATCCGTTGTCTAAGACAACTGTTACTCGACTTTAACGTTTGGAAAAACTCCCACAAATTTTGGCTCCTGAATCCACTGATCGACAATACCGTAGCGACGGCGTGTGTGGTCTCTGATCTCTATGGCCGGTCTCATCAGGGACAGTTTAGCCAAAATTAACAACTGTTCTTCGGCGCTTCTGTATGGACCAGCCCCAACTTCATGAAAAGAAATGGCAACTGAGAAATTCGAATACACTGCTACCCCTCCCTTTCTTGACTGTCGGAATTTCATGGTCAGCATTTTTTTCTCCTGAACCCTCCAAACTATAAAAAACCACCATCAACTTTATTTTTACTTCCTTTTTGATAGGAATTTTTTCCACTGCTGGCCATATTTGTGTTTAACGCTTCCCTTATAATACCTGTAAACTGGAATTTAATAAGTTATTATTATTATTATTATTATTATTATTATTATTATTATTATTCACGGTGGACGATTACCAGTTTTCTTTCGTCTGTGTGAACAACCTAGGTGAGTGGTTCTTATAAACAACGCACTAAACGTGCTCGAATGGTCGTTGAGTGTGATATTCGTTGCAATGTGGCTACCCACGGTATTGCCGAGACTTGCGTTTGCATCCCGAAAAAATCGCCCTTCTAGATATTTGTTCCAATTGTTTAAGTTGGTCAGGCTGTGGGGACATTAAATACTCGGAGGGCACTGCAATATGACCACTAGCACCCATTGGTTGGAGATCTTGTAGACCTAGCACACTTTCTTCATCTCGGGTGTGCACTAGGTCTAGTTAATCTGAACGTTTGCCTTCCCTAACATGTTCCGGCAGTTACATTCCGCAAATAGTTTTACGCTGCCATTTTGAGCAGATAACGACCTAGTGTACCCAGTAAACCTGAAACAGTCAGAACTTGCCAGTCGCCACCGGGAGTGTCAAAGTCTCCAACAATAAGGAGATCCTTGTCCAAGCAGGTCTTGTTTAGTTTCGATCGGAGAAGGTTTTAACTGTGGGCAGTGAGACAGCAGCGAAGGTTGTCGGGTCGTAATGAGTGAACAGAGGATCCGAGCTGAGCATCGAGTCTAGGCAGCATCCATCTGCAACAAGCGGTTGATCGAGATTCGTAAGTCATGTAACGATGACAGGAAGGCGCTATGGTAACCTATCGGACAGAGGAATAACCAAAGTTGTGATAAATAATTGGGTGCAAGTAGTAGGTGGATAGAACACATATTTTCGGGGTCTGGTTGGCGACCAATCAGCGTCAAAGATGAACCCTAGAAAGGTGATTGACTTGAGGGGAAATCGGCATTTGTCAGCCCTCAGGAGGAAACAGTATTCCATCACGTATCCGAGAACTACGGACACTTGACCTTTAAGTTCAGCGGGCGTGCGCTGCATGATGGTGTTTTCCAGATTAGCAGCGGTACTCGGAATGCCGGTGAGCATTGTGTTCATTGGACGATGAACGCTACTGCCAGAACAGGTACCAGCCAAAGGCCCTGACACGCATTTCGTCGCTGTTCTGCCATTGCATTACACAGATGCGAGGGGTTTGGCTAATCAAGAAATCCTTCAGCCTTCCACGTGAGGCTTCTAGAACGGCTGTGAAATTTCAGCTTTTACTATGTTGATTTGGAGTAAATTCCTCCTGAGGGAACATTTTCAAGTTCGAATTGAAAGTTGGCATAAATATTTGAGCCGATATCGGTCAGCTTCAGTGGAATACTTGCGTAATCAGTCAGTCAGTGTATTTGAGGAAAATTGGCTTACGCCCTTGATTTTCCTATGAGTACATAAAAATCCTTAAAATTTGCAACAACATGAGGAGATTCGAGCAAAAAGTGAAAGCAGACATCGATTCACATAAGACATTGTTTTTTCTGATTTCAAGGTCACATCGTCCGCTTGTTGCTGCAGCCTATGTCTGTCAAGCCGACATTTAAATGTCGTCACAGGCTGAGACGGTAAGGTCCCCTCGGCCAGGTTATTCCATGGTTCCACGACACGGTTGGAGAAAAAATGCTTTCTCACGTCCAATCTTTCTTTGGGAACACGTACTTTGAAGGGATGTGCCCGGAGGTTATTTGCCGTGGCAAGTAAAAAAAGTCGTAACACCGACGGGCGCAGTACAAGCCACGCACAATACGGAAAGTTTGTATCAAATCACCCCTCAACTGTCTATAACTCAGATGATAGAGTTTAAGGTTATTCAGACGGGTCTTATAAAGCAGGGCACCTTGAACTCTTATTAATTTTGTGGCGCGCCTCTGCACCTTTTCGAGCAGGCTGTAATCCTGCTGCGTCCACGGTCTCCGGGCCTGAATTTCATACTCGAGATTCGGCCTTACAAACGTGCCGAAGACTTTGGAGAAGCAATCTGCATCGAAAACTGCGAATGCAAGCTTAATTGCGCATAGCACTGAAGTTGCGGCTTTAGCCGCCTTAGAACATTGAGCAAAGGGCTTTAGGCTGTCTGCAACCCAGACTCTGAGATCTTTCTGTGACTATGCTTCTTGGAGTGGCATCTCGTTTAAATAATATTGCCGCGTATTATGGATCGGATTCCGATTTTCTAGACGCAGAATGGTGCATTCATTCAAAGTGAAGGGCAGGGGCCATCTGCGGGACCACTCGTCCAGTCGACGAAGATTTTTTTGAAAGTTGGCCTCGTCGGCAGCATTCTGGAGGACTTTCCCGATTTTTATGTCATCTGCGAACATGGCACTATCACAGTTCAACTCCTCTACACAATAATTAATAACCGAGAGAAAGAGGGTCGGTCCGAGCACTGAGCCTTGTGGGACTCCACTCTCTATCTCTGTGCCCCTTGATTGCTGTTGCTCCACGCGGACAATTTGAGGACGACCGACGAGGAAATTCGTGATCCATTTGGGAAGGTTGCCGCCGATGCCCATCATTCGCAACATGTGAAGGAGACGCTGGTGCGGAACACTGTCGAACGCCTTTCGGAGATCAGTATTGGCCACATGCACAGTGCGTTTTGCATCGAGGGCTCTTATCCAGTTTTGCATTGTGTATAGCAAGTTCGTTATAAATGATCTTCCCTTACGGAAACCGTATTGTGCATTGGACAAGAGGCTGTGGGTTTCCAAATAAGCCATCAACTCCTATTTTATTGCTCTCTCCATCACTTTTCAGCAGTCTGATGTCACACTGACGGGTCTGTAGTTCTTCGCAAGAGCAGGACTACCGCTTTTATAAAGGGGTATAGTGTGGGCCATCTTCCAGTCTGTCGGAAGGATTCCAGAATCAAACGATGCCTGGCGCAGAAAGGGGGATGGTTTGGCCAAATCACGGGAAAGTTCAGAGAGCAATTTTTTAGGGATTTCTTCCGTACCAGGAAATTTACATTCCGTTAAGTTTTTTAGTTCATCCGAAATCGCTTCTTCTCGAGAGGCAATATTTGTAATGTTCGAATCTCCCATGTTTTCAGAACTAGATGGAATAAAATCTGCTTCTCCTTTGCTCCACCAGTTGGCTGAAATTCCAGCTTCCTACTTCTCGTCTCATCGTGGTATTTTCAGGTGCATGAGACCTCACCGGATTGCTTTGATATGGGGTGCCTCGTTATCGGTGTCACTTGTCCCTCTCCTAAACCGACGACATCTCTGATTCGTACTGACTGGCGGGAAAACTGATTGCAGTTCATTTCGCGATGTGAAGGCCTTATCTGCGCGCAGCGTGTCTTCGGGTTTTGTATGCAGGCGACGACTTCGGTTTTGTAGCAGACCCAAGGCGGTTATGCGTTCCACGTCAGAAAACACCCTCCTAAGTTTACCATCCAATCCTCAATGAAAAAAGGATACGTGATGTTAACGCAACAGGTGCTGGAGGAGTTGAAATAAGGCGGAAGGGACGGAAAGTCAGTTGTGAGAGAAGACTGCGGGTCCTTTGGCAGGGGCGGGTTGGCCTGCTAGATGAGCTTCCACTGGTCTGTGATGTGTAGTAGTGAGCGGTGTACGAGAGCGGTGATTGCATCCAAGAGGCGACCTCCGGTTCAAGTTGGTAAATGTCAATTCTACGCCAGAGTTAAGAGTTCTCCAGGCGGTTCGGACAGGTTTAAATAGAACGGACGAATGAGTGTGAGGAAACCTAACTGCAAAGATAGAATAAAGCAGGAAATAACCAATTAGTTTCTGTAAGTTGGTATTATGGGCATTTTGATCTAACGAAATAAACAATGGATTTGGTGAGAGTTTAGACTTAATCGGGAAATAACAAAAGGATCAACGATTCGATATGGCCTATTTACTTATAAATGGCGACGGAAAAATCGACCAGTTAGGGCTAAAATCCGAAAAACTTTGTTTCCATCGTTAAAACTGCCTGTGGCTGCTCCAGTGCTCCTAAGCCTCGATGATGCACTAGCGACACATGCTTTAACCAATCAGTGAGCAGACAACGACCAAACAGGACTGGTACCAAAATATATCTAAACGACAGCCACCAGTCGGACTCCCTTGGTGTAAGGTTACGAAGCTGGCTGACGGGAAGATAAGGGCAGCGGTCTTTCGTAAGCCAACCGAGATTAGGCGCATCTTCTACTTCAGGTCAATCACCCCCTGTGTCAGGACCCTCTTCCAACGCGCTCAAGCCCGCAGTATCAGCGACAGGGGAAAAAGAGGAGATTAAGTACTTACACGCCCTATTTGAAGCCAACGGTTAGCTGAATTCCTTCATATGCAAGCGGTCTAGTAATGAAAAATTGCAGTTCCGGCTCGTGATTCTCTAAGTTAAGAACGTTTTGTAGGCTACGGTTGAAATCGTGAAGCCGTTTGGGTTTGGCGAATTGTTGAGTCCAGGGACCAGCTACCCGTGACAGAAAAATCATTAGTCGTCTACGATATACCATGTCAGCATTCTGATGCAATAAATGTTGGCGAAACGTGCAAACACCGCGTCACAAGACTGGATCGACACTGTCTTGCAGGCAACCGTGAAGATAAGCCGTCTTTCATCTATTGTCACGCATGTACATCAGAAGAACCACATTTCACCCTTGGAAAGTTGAGGGTGGTTGGTCGAACCAATGAGAAGATGGTCAGAATGGAACTGGAAAGCTGGTTTCCGACTGGCACACTTAACTGACCCGTGGGCCTGCACCTCCACCCTATAAAGCGCTACGCACAAGGCTCGAAGACTCGAAGAAAGGGCCAACGGTGAAGAAAGTCACGCGGAACCGACAGCCGACGCCCGCGGAAAAACGGGGAGGTGTCGACCGGAAGTCACGTGGTCGTATGGCACACCAGCTGAAAGCAGTTCACACGAGCACAAACGACTGGCCAGTTTGTCGGCCAACGAGGGGAAGCCAACAAGCCCGCTGACCTGACCGCAACTACTACAGTCGCGCAGGGGGGACACAATGGTCGACATCGGAGAGGCCAGAACTGGCCAACTGCATACGGACATGCCAAAGTACGTGCGTTAAGCACGGTTATACACGAGTCAGGCGGCAAGGCTAAATAAATCAAGACCGACAGGAAAAGCCACAACACTGCTCAGATGATGGAAACGAGGAGGTTCTCGAAACGTCAATATAATTATTATCCGGTCTATAAACTGTCCTTCTTTTCTTCCTATTTTTCTCCGGGATCCTAAAGCACTACGGGACATGGTGTGAAATGGGACACAAACTAGGCAGTCGCACAGCGGCCAGTAGAATATGCAGAATGTGACTACTCTGCGGTATTGGGGGTGGGAATGGAAGAGGACCTGTGTGCGTGTGAAAAGGGGGAGGGGTATCGACAAAGACAAGGAAATCTGGGATGACTATTTTTGGCTTATCAGCCGCCGTCGTCGTCGACAGGACAGCGGGCCCATGGCTGAGGCGTTGGACGCAATAACGTTCGATACCCAAACAACGCCGGTAAACACGGCAGTCGTTTTTTACAGTGTAGTTTTTGCATGCGGTCGGAAGGCAGTTCATTCGAAAGCCAGCATCCTGAGGTAATTAAAATATTATAGAATTATGTTGCAGGCTGGCTAGTTTTGCAACCCTACTTAAGTAATAGTTTTGAAACGAAGACGCATTTCGGAATTTCGGTTGACATTGAATGAGTTAGCCCATCTACTGTAAGTCACTCGAAAAGCTTCGCCGGGGTCCATACGATTCCCGAAATCAACAACATGTGCGAGAATAGCACTGTTTACGCTCCTAGTTTCGCCTTTTCGCAGCCATGCCGGGAGGTGTACTCATATTCTTCTGAGTAGGCGCTGACTCATGCAACCAATATAACCGTTGACTGTCAAAAGAAGAGCAACACAACACCATATGTCTCGTCCAACCCCTATCCGACAGTCCAGTTGCTAAAAAAGAGCTGATCGAAGTCCGGCTATAATGAAAGAATACCTTAGATCATTTGCCTGTAACCAGACCGTTCTCGCTAGTTTTTGGGAATGTCGGTCGAACAAAGAACTCCAGAAGAGAGCTGGTTACTCGTGGTCCCAACTTACTACTTTCCTGTGGGTTCCATACCCTACTCTACTCAAAATGCATTCGGTGGTGGACCATAGGCAGGCAACCTAAATAACAAACAGCCTTGCCAACTTTTTAGCCGTTCAGCTGCCAAATAATTGTCGTCAGATTAAAACTGACTTGCGTACAAGCAAAGTACACCGCTCTCTTTCGCGTGTGGGCGTCTGTGAACGCCGAATTTTTTCGAAAGAAACATACCTCATGCAAGTGACTCACCTGTTACTCGATAAAAAGGCATTTTGGCAAACCGCTTTCTAGAGCATGTGACCGGCTACCGCTCCTCTGTAACCTGACGCGAGTACGTCTCATTCCTATGATTACCCCAATGCTGTGCGAACCGCGAACGCTGCCTTTTGTGGCGGACTTCATCGACGAAATCAGCAGGTCGGAGGCCTGTTAGGAAGACACCCATAAGTAGGCATTCAGCATCTTGCTACCTAATCGGTCAGAACATAATTCGCAAAAAACGGATGCCCTGCGTGATTTGTCCTCCGCAGTATTGGGGAACACACCGCAAAGCTTACCACGGCAACTGCGGATAGGAAAGACTTGTTTATAAGACTGTCTGGCAACGGTATAGAGAAGGACCCCACTTAACTGTCAGTAGACTGTGGATCGTGTCATATGGGGTTTTATCTTGGCATACATTTGCAGGCTGTTGCAGAAATTATACTGCCAACAACGATTACTTCCCACGACCTCACACCTTAACTCATAATCAGTTATTTTGTGAAATTTGCATTTTATTTACCGCTTAATTACTACTCTCACTTCTGTTGTCGTGCAATAGCTTGGGACAAGACTTTCGCCATAAATCCAGGCAATTTTTGTGTTTTCTTACATTTTGTCAGTCTACTGTCTAGCGTGCTGCCCCACCCATAAAACTTCCTTTACCATAAATTACGTATGGCGCGATCCACAGTCTACTGACAGTTGAGTGGGGTCCTTCTCTATACCGTTGCCGACTGCCTTTTCTAGGAGATGCAACAAACGAACTACTAAGACGACGTGCAAAGTCAGCGATCACTAGCCACGTTCCTCGCGGCGAATTTGCGCGTACGTTTCACAAACCCTCCCCTCCTACGCTCTGGACGTATAGACTGACTACCGCCGAAGGCCATATCGATGTGCATTTACTCATTCACCTGCTCCTGTGATGCGGGCTACGTCGGTCATACAATGAGACGCCTGGAAAAGAGGGTGCGTGAAAACAGACCGGCCTGGTTAGACAGAGGTGATAACAGATAGATTTCGAGTTCTAGTTTTACGCATCTAGTCGATACAAATAGCTGAGTCGGTGCCAGGGAAGTCCTTCAGGTTGTCTACCGAGTACCAGCAAACTGTAAGAGTCGTGGATAGATTTGGAAAAAGAGAGTGTGATCTTCGTCTCCAAATTAAATGTGCTGTCACACTTCCTTGACGTAGCCAACTCCGAGAGGAACCCTAAAATGACGGTGTTGGTAGCTACTTGAAACCCTGAGACTGCTGGGAGACAGGAAGTTCAAGATGTTTCTTGTGCAGAACTTCCTGATAAGT